CCGCATAATGGTTATGCGGACCGTATATCGGTGTCCAATACTGGCAAACATCTATCTGTGTATGCGGTCACTATGCGGGCCGCATACCTGTTATGCGGTCGCATAATGACTGCAGAACAGTTATACGGTCGCATAGTCGACCGCAGATTTCATCCAAACTGGCCCTCTTCTGCCTCACTTCTGCGGCCATTATGCGACCTGCAGAGTGATTATGCGGTCGCATAATGGACCGCAAAAACGTGTTTTTTCGCCAAAAAATTTTCTTTACTTCTCGGTACATTGTTCAACCCAAAAAGTCTGAGCCGCGGCCTCGACACTACAAAACCTTAATTTCCTTAGCAAAAATTCTCCGGGTCACTACACATACGTCAACATCTGGTCAACCTTTTCAACTAAATTTTGAAACCTTGGAACTAGGTGTTCCAAGTCATTCAAAAACCTCACTGGACCCGAACCAATTACCCCCGGCAAGTCACATAACAAATGTAAAGCATAAATTGAGCAGTAAATGGGAAAATAGGGTTATAATACTCAAAACGACCGGCCGGGTTATTACAATATTCTAATAGAGGTCTGTAGACAGTATGTATAGTTGGATATAGTTGTCTATAGCAGCCTTGTCAGCTCGCCTTACGTATTCCGCACGTATATGTATATATGTCTTTTGGACAGGGTTCCCTCACGCATGTTATTCTCGTAATTCAGTAGATGTTGTTCATGTTTATATCTTAGACGCATGCTTAAGGGTGTTCGACAGGCATGACTCGGGCACTCGTCATGGCCCATCAGTTTGGGTCGTGACACTCGGGACCCCGTCCGAATATTCCAACAAGTCCCATAACATAACAAGAACCTACTCGAGGCCTCAAATCATGTATAACAACATCAAAACCACGAATCACACCTCAAATCGAACTTAATGAACTTTTGAACTTCAACTTCCAAAACTCGTGCCGAAACATATCAAATCAACTCAGAATGAACTCAAATTTTGCACACAAGTACCAAATAACATAACAAAGCTATTTCAATTCCCGAAATCACAATCCGAATCCGATATCCTCAAAGTCAACTCTCGGTCATACTTATGAACTTTTCAAACCTTCAAATTTCCAACTTTCGTCAATTAGCACCGAAACCTTCTAGAAATATCCAAATGAAATTTCGGGCATACGCCCAAGTCCAAAATTATCATTCGAACCTAACGGAACCATCAAAGCTTCGACCCGGGGTCAAATATACAAAAGTCAAACTTGGTAAACTCTTCTAACTTAAAGCTTCAAACATGAAATTCATTCTTCCAAACTAATTCTGAAATACCTGAAAACCGAAACCGACGATACACATAAGTCGTAATACATCATACAGAGCTACTCATACCCTCAAACCACTGAGCGAAGTACAATTGCTCAAAACGATCGGTCGGATCGTTACATATTGCGGCGTGCAACCCGATCCACATATATAATATAATATTACTACCAACTATGGCGTATCTCCTAACGTAACGCAAGAAGGAAACTAAAACTTATAAATCCTTTAAGACAATTCAATATAGCATAATAAAGTGAAATAGAAAGCAAGTAAGGCGAATAAACAAATAAAGGCATGGGCTAAGTAAAAACATATATCTAATAACATGTTAGAGCATAGGACAAGTAAAGGCGAACAATAAATAAGGCATGAATATATGGAAACATGTAGCAAATAAAGGCATGTACAGTCAGGCCTTTCTATAACAACATCCATATATAATAACTATTTACTATAAAAGCCAAGTTTTCTCATAACCATTTTTTTATGTTATATTTTACCTCTCTCACAAATCGCCCTTACCGAGCTCTACAAGTCCAAAAATGAGAGAAAACTTGAAACCCTTTGAAATATAACACTGCTGGTCAATCCGCACTTGCTGCTAACTTAACCGTATTTGCGGTTCCGCAGGTGCGGCCAAAACCTCGCTTCTGCGATACATCAACGACTCCTAACCTTTCACTTCTACAGACACTGCTTCGCATCTGCGAACACACCTCACATCTACAGTTCCGCAAATGCGGCTTCACTTCCGCATCTGCGACTAAGATCTCACCTGACCAACTTCTGCTTCTGCGACCAGCTACCCGCATCTGCGAGCTCGCATGTGCGGAATATTCCTCGCACTTGCGCAACTTCCCAGCTCAACTCAGGACCGCTTATGCGACCCCGTGGCCGCTTCTGCGGCTCCGCACCAACGGCCAAAACCTCGCTGGTGCGGTTACACTAGAATTGAAGCCAACCGATTTTCTCCAAGTCCAAACCTCAATTCGATTTTCATCCGAAACACACCCGAAAGCCCCGGGACCCCATCCAAACATACCAACACATCCTAAAACGTAATACGAACTTAGTCGAAACCTCAAATCACATCAAACAACATAAAAAACACGAATCGCACCCTAATTCAAGCCTAACGAAACTAATGAATTTCCAACTTCTAAAATCAAAGCCGCAACCTATGAAACCAACTCCGATTGACCTCAAATTTTGCACACAAGTCATAAATAACACAACGGACCTAATCCAATTCCCGAAACCAAAATTCATACCCGGTATCAACAAAGTCTCGGTCAAACTTCTCAACCTTCCAAACCTTCAACTTTCCAACTTTCGCCAATTTAAGTCAAAACAACCTATAGACCTCCAAATCCATATTCGAATATACTCCTAAGTCCAAAATCACCATACGAAACTATCAGAATCATCAAACCTTGGGACTAAGTGTCCCAATTCATTCAGAAATATCCCCCGAACCAAACTAACTACCCCGACAAGTCACGTAACCACAGATGAACACAGAATAAGCAATAAATGAGGAAACATGACTACAATACTCAAAACGACCTACCAGGTCTTTACAGCAAAGCATGCCAGCCGCATTTGCTGACCCAAATAAAGTAAATATCTTCTCACTACAAATGCTCCTATTAAAATAAGTCTTAGAATGACAAAGTCTATGATACGCTTAAAGCATATAGACAAATCGATTTCAAATAAAATTCTTGATAAAAAAGATGAGAAAATGATCATAATAAGGAAGCAAGTGATCTAGAAGATCACATGACATAACATTTCATAATATCTTAGAAGAGGTTCAAGTACCTGAAAATATGAATGAAGAGATCTCTATGTTGTGTCTTTATGAAAAAAGGAGGTTCGAACCGAGATAAAATGTTCGTCGACTACATGTATGATAACGCTAAATATATATGATGATCTTAAGTCTGGAAAAATAATTCAAGTAGAATTGGTTTCATATGAAAGACATGTAGTTTTGGACCTCTAGTTCAAACACTTGAAAGTATAAAGTCAATGGTGTATGCAATCACTTTTATCGATTTTATATGTCTAGCATGGCATGAAAATTTGATATGCATTAAAAGTCTATTTATATAGCTTATATGACTTAACTTATATGACAATCCCGGAAGGATTTAAATCGCTTAAAGCATATACAATTCTTGGTCGTGAAGTATCACATCCTAAGTGCAATTTGTGCACATATGTATCTTGCTATAACTATAAGTATTATAATGTTATAACAAGAATTTTTACCTCTATGGAGATATTGAAAAGGCCATTCCACGACATTATATGAAGATATTACATATCTATCAAGAATGATGATTTCAAGGTGTAACATACTCATTCAAATTAATATGACTGATTTATTTATTAAATCTCTACCAACGATCTTTTGAAGATGGTGCACAAGTTTGGAATGCGAATGCTCAAAAGATGTGAATTGATTGTCTCAAGAGGGGTAGTTAATACACGTTGTACTTTTTTTTCTCTTATAAGGTTTTGTCCCACTAGATTTTTCTTGCAAGGTTTTTAACGAGGCAACCAAACGACGCATTGTTAGATATGCGTATTTTTTTCCTTCACTAGAATTTTTTTCCACTGAATTTTATTTTAATTAAGATTTTACAGTTTGTTACTTTTTGGCCAAATTGCTTTTCTCATATAAATAGAGAAGTATTTTATTCCATTATAATTCATTGCAAATCAATAAAGAACAATTTGGGCTTAGAAGAATACTTGTTATTTTGTATTGTCTTGGTCATCGAGGTTCTTAAGCAACATGAGCCAAATAAGCTTAAATCTGTAGGCCCAATGATTATAGAAAGGAAGATGGATATTTTTTTAAAAATCAATAAATTATCTTTTGTTAAATAAAATAAGTGGCCCAATACCATAAAATTTTAATATAAGCTTACCCGGCTTTAATGTCTTGCATTAGTTAGAAATTATTTTTAATAATAATATCATTTTTTCGGTCGAACAAGTAATAAATAAAAAGAAGCGCTTTGTAATTAATTTAGACGCTAGGCAATTAGTAGGTGTGCTTTAACTTCATGGAATCGGTTGCGTAACGTGATGTTTAACATTCAATAATTTAATTCAATAATGTCATACCATACTCATTAGTTTTAGTTAATTTTTAATTTAATAAATACATTGCTAAACTCGCGAATTCGTTTGCGTAGCGTGATAGTTAACTTTTAATAAATTTCAAAATTATTTTCTTCGAATGTAGTAATTTTCTCCAAAAGTAATAATGTACTAATAATCCTCGTCATGACTGCGGACTCACTTGCGTAGCGCGGTTATGTGAAAAATCAATAAAATTCATCTCGGTCATACATTCGTTTACGTGGTGTGGTTAAGACAATTTTATTCAAATCTTTTCTTTAATAATTTTAATAATTAAAAGTGGATAGGTAAAACATGAAAATCCAATAAAACACAGTTTATCCAAAATTAATTTAAACCAAGTTTAAGTCAATAAAATGACCGTGCTAGAACCACAGGACTCGGGGAATACCTTACACCTTCTCCCCGGTCAACAGAATTCCTTACTCGGACTTTATCTCTACCTTTTTTTTTTTTTTTTTTTTTGGCAATACTATCCTTTGTTTCTTTTATTTTATTGTTTTATAACACTAAATGGGAAATGTGTTGTCCTCGGCTTCTGTTTTTTTCTCCAATCTTAGAGAATAGTTTCACTAGGGTGATTTCAGGCGCCATTTCCTCTTCTCACCACTACTCACTCCTTCTAAAGAGAAACCCAAACAAAAATGGCGTCTTCCTCTTCCAAAACCCTAAAGGATCTATTCAAGCAACCTGCAGCAAAGCGGCTAAAACGGGTCTCCTCGCCATCTTCTGCTGACAACTTCATTTCCAGCGCCTTCTCATCTTCATTGTCGGATGAAGACGGCGACAACAAAGACCCCAAAGATACAATGCTCACGTCCGAGCAAAAGTCGAGAATGGAGTTCAATAAATCGCTTGCAAAGGCCAAAATGAACCTCAAACTATGCTCTGATAAAATCTCCAAGTTAAACGCAAATGGTCGTTAAATATTGCTCCTTTCACTTTTCTTGAAAATTTATATTTGGTTCCATTAAGATTGTGTATTTACTAACTTGGTCCTTAGTTTCACTTGAACTGTTTGGAAAAGCTTGTTTCACTTTCTATTTTGTGTTGTTTTTTCAGTTAGTTGGTAGATTGTGATGCATTTTCAATACCACAAAAGGTTTGAACGACCACATTTTAACTTCATCCACTATTTTACTCCTCTAGAAAAACAATTTTCAAATAAGAATCTGACATCTTTCTCAAGAAATATTGAATAAATTATATTTCCACACTGCCTATTCTGGTTATAATCATTCCAAATACTGAAGTGGACAAGCAAACTGAGTGCGAAAGAGTAGCTGATTTAAAAGTTTTTGATGTTTGGACATATATTTGTGGTACATGTTCTTCTTTCTTTAATGTTTAGATGTTCACGTTGTCAGCAGAAAGAAAAACAATCATTGAATTGGATGAATTTCAAAATTAGGACAGCAAACCAAAGCCACGAGACAGTTTAGGCTCTTGTGCTGTAGCTTTACAAAAGAAAACATATTTTGTCTGCAGTATTTGTTAACTACTCGTGAGATAAATGTACAAATTGAACATTTTCTACTTATACTTAATATTTGATTTTTCTTGTGAAAGAGCAAAGTAGGCCTTCAGTATCAAAAGTAAGATAGCTACTCGCAGACCAATTTGTTATATTCACTCTTTATTTTAAGATGTCGCTCTATTTTCTGTTTCATATCCTTTGGTTAAACTGCTTATTCCTTGCTAGTCACTGAAAAGACATCTCTTGCGCATCAATTGTTAGGTGATGTCGTAGGATATGTGAAGTTAGAGGAACTGTTGGTTGAGGAGACATGGTTGGAAGCACTGCCAGGGGAATTTCAGAAGCCCTATGCAAAGAACTTGTGTAGATTTGTTGAAAAGGAATTTAGTGGTGGTGTCCCAATTTACCCCCCACAGCATCTGATTTTTAATGCTCTTAATACTACTTCATTTGACAGGGTAAAGGCTGTCATCATTGGACAGGTATAGTTTCTAGTTTGAAGGTAGCATTCACATGTTACTAATAGTATGTTCTCAAGGAATGACAATCTGTTTACACATTGATTTGAATTGAATGCAAACTTTACAACCTTGACAGTAAACTATTACGCAGCACAATGCACATGTGATAATTGGTTTTTAGTTTCTGAAATGCAACCATCTGAAATATCAAGATGTTATTAAGTTCCTCCATTTAATGCATTCGATCATTTAAAACACCAAAGTTCTCTTAACTAAAAATAAAATACAAAAGTTGCTTTGGTTCTCTTTGCAAACCTCCATTAGCGATTTGGTTTTTATCTTCAAGAATTCGGTAGTGAAGCTACACTGATATTTGGAGATATTTTAGCCTTCTAGAAGCATTTTTCTAACTTACAGCAGCATGATCTTTTTTCAGTGTGATTTCAGGATCCGTATCATGGGCCAGGTCAGGCAATGGGCCTCTCTTTCTCGGTGCCTAGAGGTGTGAAAGTCCCTTCGAGTCTGGTGAACATATATAAAGAACTTAAGCAAGATTTGGGTTGTTCAATACCACTCCATGGAAATCTGGAACAATGGGCTTTACAGGTGCTTCTGAACTTCTTGCTGGAACTTTTCATCTACTATATGAGTATCATATTAAGTTGTTTTTTTCTACTGTGCTTTACTTATCAGTTTGTTCAGTCAAAAGCAACGAGTTGTTACCTTGACAATTTTCACTATCAGTCCTTTGGCATATTTTATACATGACGTGATATCTGAAGCAACAACAACAACAACATACCCAGTGTAATCCCACATAGTGGGTCTGGGGAGGGTAGTGTGTAGAGGTAGAGAGGCACGTGATAATTTATGAAGCATGGTCATAATTTCAACCACTATCCACTTCTGATCTATTTCACTTTAACTCACGGAAATTTATCGTTGATATTTAAGCAAAAATGTGACAACATGATATTTACTCTGTTTTGTTTACTGAACCTAATATTGCCACTGATAAATGAGATCTTTACAATTCCTGGTTATTAACTGTGTAACAATCTGCAAATGGTTTCAACTTTAACTTTCAAGATAAACTAATCAAAGATCCTTGATTTGTTCTGTATCAAGACCTCATTATTTTTTAAGAGTTGGGGCCAACTATCGAGTGTATGGTGATACTGTAGTTTCTTTACATGATAGTGCAATAATGGTGGATCTTATCTCGAAGTTGATATTTATGTAAGCTTATTTGATAGAATGACATAACAATTTGATAAGTAGTTTAAAATTTGAATTGTGAGTTTTAGTAAACTAAGACAATACAAGACATGGTACACCCTGGCTTTACAAAGACTGGTGGCATATTCAGTGCTAAACTGTCACACAAAGACGTATATCATAGAAATTCTCAACTTACACCACTCCCCCGTAGCTCTGGTATTAGGAAGAGATGTTCCGGGCTTCCGGCTTACTTGCATACTTGAAAGCATGCTTGCTTTTTGTTATAGTAACAAGGTTTTTATTTAGAGCATACTTAGCCTAGATTAGTACTTAGTTAAAGCAGGAAATTTGAGTTGTTCATGATTCAATATTAAGTTTCTGTAAAATGAAACTGATGCTTCCTGCCTGTTTATTCATATCAGCAGCAATAACTTTATAAACCACTTTCATAGCCTTTTATGGCCCCCCAAAAAAAAAAACTGATGTTTCCACACTTTTATAGCCTTCCATTTTTTTCTTCCTTTAAGTAATTGTCTGACATACACCACGTTGCTTTATAGGGTGTTCTGCTTCTTAATGCTGTTCTTACAGGTAAAACTTCCACCTCTTCAATGGTTTTTATATATTGGTCTGCACGCATTCCTTTTGGATTCTTTTCTTCTCATTGCTTTTTGAGACTATATTATATGGCTATTGCGCCACAAATGTACTTGAGAATGATTAATTTCAAATGAAGTAAAAGAAAAGATATTAACTGAAGTAATATCTCTGTATTTCTCTCCGTCTCTTCTCTCTACATAAATCAGTTAGGGGTGATCATAAGATCTGAGAATTCGATTTGGGAAAAAATGAGAAAGTCATCGTAAAGTAGGTAGAAGAGTGATTCAAAACTACTTTCAACATAAATTTAGATGTTTGTACTAGGTTGAAACTTGAAACATCTGTGCCTACTGTATCAAGGTATCTCCTGTGATACGAAATTCGTTGTATTTTATAATCTTATTGTTAGACTATCTGTCATATTTCAGGCTTTATTTATGCTTAATTTTATTTCCTTCTTTTTACATTGCATGCACATGACTGAAACATAAAGATTTACAGACGTGAAACCTATGATAACGAATTTGCATTCATATTGTCATGAATTGCTTTCTATCTTGTCCCATGATGCGTTGGCGGTGCTCCATAATACGGTTGAAAGTCTTTCAATTCCTTGTACTATGGGGCGCCTTGGTCTTAGCTGCACCAACTTACAAGCACTCTTGTGCCTTCGGCCCACTTATTAGTGGCCGCCCATGTGCATGCCACAAACAAAGCCTGTCGTACGCCTTCAACGACCAACTATCAATATTTAATGCAAGGACGCCCACAAGCAAGAGAACAAAAAGTGGCAGGGCCCTGCTTCGCTTAAAGCGTGAATCGTGAAATGAAGCGCTCCACAATTTTAAAGAAAAAAAACAAAATAAACCTTGCACAAAGACGATATATATAAGCAAATGTTTAATTAAAAGACTAAATAATAGACAACACAAAATCCTACAAAGGACAAACAAAATCAAAACTAAAGTATAAAATGGATTGGCATCCTATTTTTTTTACAAGATTGTCAAAATCTCTAAGTCCATATCATCATTATATTGCTCATCATCTTCTTCGTTTTCATCTTCATTTTCATCAATTAGGGATAGAATTGTAGCTACGTCTTTTCCCCTCCTATGTAAGCTTGAAGTACTCCCCTTAAACCATAAATGTTCTCCTCAACTCCGCTTGCCTCTGCAACATCATCACCCCAAGTGAAGTTAGAATCTCCTTCAAATACGTCTGCATGATTTTCAGAGACTCCAGTTAGCTCTTCATTAGTCTTATCACTATTGTCCAAACAAATTGGATCAATTCATTGCGAGCGTCGTAACAACGCCTCAATGTTCCATTGTATTTAGTGAACACTAGATCATGAGACGCTTTACGGTTAGTCTAGTTCTCTTCGTAGTATGAATCTGCGAATAAGTTATGGCAAATAATTAGTAAGAGTTAGGACAATTGAGATATAATTTAGTTATTCGATATACTAAATCGTTCTTCTTACATATTCAAACATGCTCTAATTTCTTTCACATCCAGATGAGCTACAAGTTAGACATGGAACTTTGACGACAAATTTTTTTAACTCTGGATTGTTAGAACCATATTTCTTTCTTAGTTCAACTGTTGAAGTAGAACAAATATTCAAAAGTTAATAAATATAAAGAAATAACTTAAAATTTAAAGCTATAAAGAAACATAGAAGCACTCACTCACTTGGTGGCCTCTTCTTTCTTTGTCTAACATTCATTAGATATCCAAAAAGTCCCTCAGCATTCTTGTAAGTACTAATCTGCTCCGTTATCTTATGTTGCTCATATTCATCAATACCAACTTACCAATAAAATCGTAGAATCACTTTCATTCTTCTGAATTTAGTAAATCCTTCTCACAATTGTCATAAAAGAGTTTCAAGTTCAAAACATACCCAGTTGCATGCATAGGCCGATGAAGTTGACCCGACCTCTTATATCAATGATTTTAAAGACCTATATTTCTTTTCTTCACTAAATGACGCTTGAATAACCGCCTTAGCCCTATCCATTACTTCATAAAGGTAGCTCATTGATGGTTTTTGCTCCCATCCACCAATCAAAGTACTTTAAACCAAGGGCCACCAATTTTTAAGCATGAATTATTCCAAAAGGTAGGAGAAACAATAATGTTTCCAGCTTCTTTCCCTCCAGCTTTCTTTCCAAATGCACTAGTTGTGTATTTTGATGAAGTGAACGACTTTCTCATAATGTTCTTTTGCAAGTGTATCCTACGCAAGCCGCAAGGTCAAGAAAGCTGTAGCAAAACTTATCTTGGTAGGTATCAAACCTTTTTATTGCGTGAATCTCCTTATTACATTCAATAATAAAAGCCTTTGACTAATGTAAGAATGCACCCTAACTGCCTGAACACAAATTGTAATGGAGGGTCTTTCCTTGAAAATATCACAGGACATCAAACTATACAATGAGCTACATACTGAGTCCAATAAAGGTGTGGGTACACCCCCTTCAATTGTTACCCGTTTTAACATTTTCACTAGCATCGTCCATAACAACTTGAACAACCTTAGTTGGTCCAATGTTCTCTATAGTTTTCCCAAACAAGGAGAATATTTTGATGGAATTAGTAGAAGAGTCGCTAGCATAAATGGATTCAAGAAACAAACTTCCTTTTGGAGAATAAATTGATGAAATTAGAGGCCCTTATCTAATTAAAGAGGCGGAAGAGACAAAAACATTGTGGAGGATCATAAAGTAGAATGGAACAAGTATGGATGTTCCATTATGATGTATCAAGAAATGAAAAAATGATCATCAATGTGTTGGTGAATTCTCTGAAGGAAGCTTGTTTCTTGAATCCGTTCATACTAGCGACTCATCTACTGATTCCATCAAAATGTTCTCCTTGCTTGAGTGCTATAGAAAAAATTAGAGCAGATAAGGTTGTTCAAGTTGTTACGGACAATGTTAGTGAAAATATTAAAGCGAGTGATGAGTTGAAGGGAGTGTATCCGCACCTTGGACTCCATGTGCAGCTCATTGTATAAATTTGATGTTCGGTGGCATTTTCAAAGAAAGACCCTTCACTACAATTTTTGCTTAGGCAGTTACGGTGCGTTCTTAAGTTAGTAAAAGACTTTTATTATTGAATATGATGAGGAGATTCACACAACAAGAAAGTTTCGTGATACTTGCCAAGACAAGATTTGCTATTGCTTTCTTTACCTTGCATAGAATGCACTTGCAAAAGAACAAATTGAGAAGGTTGTTCACTTCATAAGAATACACTACTAGTAGATCTGGAAAGAAACTGCAAACATTAATGTTTCTCCTACCTTTTGGAATAATGTTGTTCAGGCTTTGAAAATCGATAGTCCTTTGATTAAAGTACTTCGTTTGGTGGATGGGGAGAAAAAACTACCAATTGACTACCTTTATGAAGCTATCTATAGGGCTAAGTAGGCTATTCTAGCATCATTTAATGACGACCAAAAATAGAAAAGTCTTTGAGACCATCGATAAAAGGTGGTCAGATCAACTTCATCGACCTTTGCATGCAGCTAGGTATGTGTTGAAGCCGAGACTCTTTTATGATATGAGAAGGATTTACTAGATGTATACGTGTGAAAGGGATTGTATAATTGTATTGGTAATTGGTCGCTAATGAAAATGAGCAACATAGGATAATAGAGTTAGCTAGTACTAGACTAACCCTAAAGTGTCTCAATGATCTAGTGTTCATTAAACACAATAGAAAATTGAGGCATCTGTACGACGCTCGCGATGTAATTGATCCAATTTTTTTGGACAATATTGATGAGGCTAATAAATGACTAATTGGAGTCTCAAAAAATCATGAAGAAGTATTTGATGGAGATTCTAATTTCACTTGGGATGATGTTGCGGAGGCAAGTGGAGTTGAGGAGAACATTATGGTTTAAGGGGGAGTACTTCAAACTTACATAGAAGGGAAAACGAAGTAGCTATAAGTATATCCCCTGATTGATGAAGATGATGTGCAATACAATGATGGTGATGGAATTAGAGATATTGACAATCTTGTAGAATTATATGTTGATCCATTTGTCTTTTAGTTTTGATTTTGCTTGTCCTATGGAGGATTTTGCCCAATCTACTTTGTAGTTTTTAAATTGAACAACATTTGCTTATATATATATATATAGTGTCTCTTTGCGAGGTTTATTTTGGTCCTTTTTAAAAAATTGTGCTTCACTTCAATGAAGCGAGCACTTCGCTTCACGCTTTAAGCGAAGCAAGGACTTGTCGCCTTTTTGCGCTCTCAAAATCACTGGTAATGAGATAGGTTTCTATTTGTACATGGATACAGATGCTTGATATTATATGGACAAAACATTTGGACACTTACACCAGAGTTTGCTGTTCCAAAAAAAAAATTAAAAAAAAAGAAGGAAAATCTTGCATCATAGTTTGATTTCCAATCCAATTTTTCAACATTTTACATAGACAATATTTGTCTCTTTTGTTTTCCAATCTGATGTGGTTGTTATATCTACCTTAATTCACAAGTTAATGCTGTCATCTACATTTTGATCTTTTTAAAAATTAAGATTTCTGACACGTATTTCAGAAAGGAGAACTCCCTTTTTTTCTCCTTCTCATTTGCTCTTGAATGCTTTATCATGTTATTATTATTTCTTTTGATCGGTATAGTTATCAATGCTTCTTTTCCATGGCTCCTCACTGTTGTTTCTGGCTGTTTTCTTTTCATTACTGTTGTGCTTATGTTTCAATGAGCCGAGGGTCTATTGGAAGCAATCTCTCTATCTCCACGAGGTAGGGTGCGGTCTGCGTACACACTACCCTCCGCAGGCCCCACTATGTGGGATGGATTACACTGGGCATTTTGTTGTTGTTGTTTGTTGGTAAAGAGTAGCATTTTATATATTCTAAAACCAGCAAGAAGTTGCTGGATTTATGCTTTATCACGTTATTTGCTTTTCTTTTTAAGTGGAGAGATGTAGTGATACTGCTTCTTGTCTTCTACTAATCACTAGCAATTTGAGCCTTTTCTTTTTCCTGATATACTTTCAGTTAGGCATCACCAGGCAAATTCTCATGCAAATAAAGGCTGGGAGCAATTTACAGATGCTGTCATCAAAATAATTTCTCAGAAGAAAGAAGGAGTTGTTTTCATTCTGTGGGGAAACTATGCCCAAGCAAAAGCCAGGTAGTTCATCACAAGCTTGCTAATACTCTATTAAGTATGTTAAAAATCTGATCGAAAATCCCTACTTTGTAATAGTTGGTCTCAAGACGACTTAGTTTTTTTATGGGCATCACTTGTAATCTTTGCCTTTGATGGAATTATATCTGCAACTTTAGATGTTCAGTGTGTTCAGTACAAGGATAGGGAAATGATCTGTAAACATTTTTGAATGTCCAGTAGTGGATTTCAGGTTAAATTTTAAAATTTCCTGTGAATAAATCTCTTTGCTTTGCTTCCATCTTCAGCATCTTGCTGGTACTTGAGGAGAGCCATTTGATTTAACTATTAGCATCTAGTTTAACTAAATTTTATGTGCATTGATTCTTAACTGGTGGACCTTGAAGGGTTGAAGAGAAGTAGAAGTAGAGCATGTATTTATCATTTGCTTTCAGAAGTTTTATGACTGAAATTCTTCACTCAAGCTTAGATCTCCAAATCTTAAAATTATCCACTGCCAAGGATTTTGTTTATAAGTTTTCCGTTAATTCTTCAGTGTCATCACAGTGGTTGCACCTTGTGTCAAACTTGTTATATATCCCTAAAGTGATGGCATCTTGAATATTTCACTGAATATTGCTTCTTCTCATCAGTCTTACTCAAATTCGCATTTTTCGATTAAACTTAGAATGCCATCATCCAAATCAGTGCTCTTATTGAAGGGTGCACAAGGAACTCTATAGAGAACGTGCACCAGAATATCATACGAACTGGTGCTCTTTTTGTTCAGGTCATACTTTTTGAAGAGAAAAACATATTGCACTTGTATAGTTTCTTCTAACCTGCTCGAAATTTCAGAAAAAATAGCTGGTCATTCTTATCCCCCAAACCCCACTTGTGGATTACACTGGGCTTGTTGTAGTTCTTATCCTACTTGATTTGCAACAATTTTGTTATGTTATGTTTTTTCTTTTTTTAGGAGAAACAGTTACACCATCAACAACGGATTAGTAGACCTATTTCACTCCCTATAATGCTTTCTGATTTTTCCTTTCCTTGTCTTAGAAATAACATGCTGCAGATTACCTGCAGCTAGTTGAGGTGACACCCCATTGAGTTATCCCTGGTACAACTTTAGATGTTAGGTATTATTTTCCATTTTTATTCTGAAAAGGTTAAAGTTTATGATTCAGGTAATTGATTTGGATGTCTAATGAAGATTTCTCAAAATGTTTTTTTGTTTCTATCAAAAGCTCAAATTTAAATTTAGAAGCACTGGAATGGAATTGGGCTGTTCGTTTCTACTTTCTTGAAATTGATTGGAAATTCTGCTGATGAGGTTCAAATGGGAAGTCAGGAACCATTCCTTTTCCCTCCTAATTAATCATTTTCAAACCTTTTTACAGGTTAGTTGATGAAACAAGGCACCATGTTCTCAAATCAGCACACCCTTCTGGTTTGTCTGCAAACAGAGGCTTCTTTGGATGTCGGTGTGTTTCCTTGACAATAGAAACTCTTTTCAACTGAAATTTCTCTAAGCATTTAATGCTTTTTGTAGATCCGAGTGCTGTAATCATGTTATATCAGTTTACTTGTTACTGTTGCATTAAATATTTATTTTCTAAACATTCCTCATTATGTAATAAAAAATATGCTCATGGAAGGAGGAGGGACGACAACATGAATGATGCATAAGAGCAACCAATCTGCCTTTTTATTTGTTTCAAGAGCCTGGTTTCCGCTGAAATCACAATTTCTTCTCTCCCACCCACAAAAAAGACAAAGGGAATTTATATCACGGTGATCAGTCAAAAAATAGGTTATTTTCTTCGTCATCCATGAATGTGTCTGCATTATGATTGCCTTCTCCTGTCTCCTCTCCTTCTGATTTATTCTTTATTTGTTGTGTAAGAAAAAGAACAAATTATGGATCAGCTTATTGTCAGAATCTTGCTCTGTAAAATGATATGATTTTTTTTGCTCTTGTTTGCATGGGGCAGGCAGCTCACATGATGCCTAGAAATAGTAATGTGATTGGATGAATTTCTTTTGCTAGAGTGCAGTTGCATATGGTAGTCACAGTGGCCAATATCCAGCCATTACTCATTACTTGATGAGATGCCATCTTCTAACATGAGATTTCTGCGGTTTTTCTGTAATGACATGCTTTAACGTTGCCAAGCGTGCCTTAGTTTTCTTTAATTGTGGTAACTAGAGTATGGATAAGGTCCTCTGCTCCCCCCCCTCTTTTTTCCTTTTCAGCTGTTCATTTCGCAGATATGAAATATATCCAGATGTGCCTTGGAGCCTGGATGTGGCATGTTTAGTTCTCTGCTTACATTATGAAGTTTCGTGCTTAAATTGAATAGAAGCTAATATCAAACTATTTTTCATGCCTCCTATGGTAATTACTTCTGCAGGCATTTTTCACAGACAAACCAACTTTTGGAGAAGATGGGAATACCTCGCATTGAATGGCAACTATAAGCTGCTATGCAACCATCATTTTCGGAATGCTACTGGGCCACTAAGAAGGATTCTTCTAGGTATGTGTAAGTCATTGCTTGACCAGAACATCAAAGAATAATTATTGTATGATATCGCCATGTATATAGTAGCTATGGCTGGTAACTTTGTTCACNAAAAATGATCATGTGAAGTGGAATAACGATTTTGCAATACTTCCAGGATGTATCTAATAACACGGGGAATGATTGTTGAAGGTAGGGTTGCTTCCATTTTTGTGAAGGTTGATCCTTAAGTTGAACAAATTATGCTTTATTGATTATGCTCCGTGTGGTTTAACACTGATCTGCACGAGTCATTTTCAACATAAGTTCAACACTGAGATCAAGGAAAATAGAGTGAATGTTCAGAATCTTGTTCTTAGATATAGTGATGAAATCTTTTTGAGGTTTCTGGACTTGAATTGATGAAAGTTTTCAAAGGTTTCTTTCTATTGTATCTGCTGCCTTATTAGGCTACTAAAACTTGCTGACTAGCACGCATAATTCATTGCTGCATCCTCCTTTCCAGTATGCTTAGGTGTTGGGTGTTGGGTGAGCTTGTCTTGGGGTGTAGCTAGCTAGATTGGTGACTCACCTCCCAACATGTCACGACGTAAAATCTCAATCACTGGGTCGTGATGACGCCTAACATTTGCTTGCTAGGCAAGCCAATATTAGCACAATAATTAAGCAGCTTAACAATTTAAAAATATAATAATAAGAAATTAAGATTGAAATATCCTGAATTGTGTAATAAATCTGTTGCGCGGTAGTAGGCAGTTCAAGGAACTGAAACTAAGACAGGAAACTTCCCTTCCGAAACTATCGCTGTCTAATACTATTCCCAGTGACGGAAACTGGTGTCACAAGTACATGAGCAACTAGAATACTACATATAAGGTTTGAAATGAAATACAAAATTGTCCGATACAAAGTAAACATCAATAAAGATAGGAAGGAGACTTCAGGGTCTGCGAACATCGTGCAACACAACCTCAAGTCTCCTGGAAGGAAGAGTCCGAGCAATCCTTGCTGAACGGCACTGGGACCAATACTGGGATTTGCACAAGAAGTGTAGAAGTATAGTATGAGTACAATCGACTCCATGTGCTTCGTAAGTGTCGAACCTAACCTCGGCGAGGTAGTGACGAGGTTATGACAAGACATTCACTAAAAACCTGTACAAGTAATTGTGATGCCCGATAGGTCATTTTGAGTTTTAGCCCTTATTTTCGTGTTTCGAGACCTTGATTAGTTTCGTTTAGTATTTCTCGATTTGCGTGCGCAGTCCGTGTCTTTTTCCGAAAAGTTTTTATGTGAAAAATTGAAGAAAATATGAATTTTAGCTTTTAAAAATGACTTGAGTTGACTACGGTCAACATTGTATGTATTTTGACGATTCCTATGGATTCGTATTGTGATTTTGGACTTGGGCTTATGCCCGTAATTAAATTCGGAAGTACCTAACTTGATTTGACTTGATTTGTTGAAAACTAGTAATTTGAAGGTTTAAAGATTTCTTAGGTTTGATCGTGATTTATTGCTACCTGGTTTGGATTTCGGTTCTGGAACTTGGTATAAGTTCATTTTACTATTTAAAACTTGTCTGCAAAATTTGGTGCAAAACGGAGTTGATTTGATAGGATTCGAACGCTCGGTTGTGAATTTGGAAGTTCTCGAATTTCTTTAAAATTTTTAATGCATTTTGATGTCCGATTCGTAGTTCTGGGTATTATTTTGGTGTTTTGATCGCGCGAGCGAGTCCGTATAATGTTGTTACACTTGTGTGCATATTTGTTTTGGAGTTCGAGGAGCTCGGGTGAGTTTCGGATAGGCTACAAACCATTTTGAACTTGAAAAGTTGCTGATGTCTGGTGCAATGTGCTTCGCGATCGCGAAGGGGAATCTGGGCTAGGGCGGAAATCGTTCTTCGCGAACGCGAGGAAATGGTCGCGAATGCGAAGTAGTGGGGGCTTACCTTTCGTGAACGCGACCGTCCATTTGCGAACGCGTAGGGTTATGGGGTCTGGGAAGGGAGTTGTCTGATATTCTACGCAGACACGAGCCTAGGCTCGCGGACGCGAAGGCCAGGGGGGAGAGGCCATCACGAACGCGAAAGCCAATTGACCGCTGTGCTTCGCGATCGCGTCAGGTCCTTCGCGAACGCGAAGAAACCTGACGCCAGTGATTTAAAACATTCCAAAATCGGGATTCTTCCCATTTTTCACCATTTTCAAGTTTGAGCTCAGCCTAGAGGCAATTTTGAAGAGTTTTTTCACCCCAACTTCATAGGTTAGTAGATTTTAACTTGTTTCCTTACATTTTCATAAACACCCATTGATTTTAACATTTAATTTATGTTTTTTCTAGGTAGAAATTGGGATTTTGAGAAATTAAGATTTAGACCTCAAATTGAGGTTGGATTTCGAAACTACTCACATAATCAGGCTCGGGGGTGAATGGGTAATTGAATTTTGATCCGAATTTCGGGTTTTGATCAAGCGGACCCAGGGTTAGCTTTTGTTGACTTTTTCCTAAATCATTAAAGATTGAATCTTTTGCACTCGTGAGTAGTTTCTAAAGTTTATTTTGAATTTTTTGAACTATATTTGGTTAGATTTAATTGATTTGGAGGCTAATTCTAGAAGAAAAGCCGCGGTTGTGCTTTGATTTGGTTGCGGAGTGAGGTAAGTGTCGTGGTTAACCTTGACTTGAGGGATTAGGACTTGTTGGTCTATTTGCTATGTATTTTATGTGTGGGGACACGTATATGTGAGGTGACAAGTATTTATGCTTTGTCATTGGGTTAAAGCATATGGGTGAAAATTATTTCTTTGTATTAAATTATTTTGTTAATCATGTTATCCATGCTTAGGTTAGATTATTACTTCTTTAAATTATTCGTTTCATATTTATTGTTTATTTCAAAGATGTATATTTTGCAAGTCGAGTTTGATATCGTGGCACTATATTTGAAGTGAAATTGTTTCCTGCCCTGATTTTTATTATTCAGATTTATATTGTTGCTTGGTGAGGAAGAAAGAGAAGCACGAAGGGTGCTGTCGTGCCTAATTGTCACGACCCAAAATCCAAATCGTCGTGATTGCATCTAACCAACTCGCTAGGTAAGCCAATTAACTATAAAACACAATATAATAATACTGATGTGAGTCAAAGATGAGATAACTGAATTTATACAACTCCCCAAGGACTGGTAGTATAAATCATGTGCTTTTAGGATATAGAGTTTACAAAGTTGGTTTGAAATAAAATACACCATCTGCTTGAAATATACATGAACAGATCTGAAATACTAAAGCTACCAAGATCGAGAGGCAGCTATGACTGGAGCGCAGGTACATCTTCAGATCCAACTCCCGCCGTACGCAGCAACATCATCATCCAACATCTGCACGCAAGGTGCAGAAGTGTAGTATGAGTACAACCGACCCCATGTACTCAATAAGTAACAAACCTAACCTTAGGTTGAAAGTAGTGACAAGGGTTAGAGTCTAACTCCAATAGCTAGCAACAATTCATAATAGTATAATAAAGATGGTACAAGAAATAACTCAGCTCGTTCACAATTACGGAAAAAAATAGGCATGCTTTTCAAGTATAACAGTAGATCCCAAATCTTTCACCGAAAAACCCCAAAGATAGATGAACAAGTTTGAGAACTGTGATTTTTCCTAAAAATCTTTCAACAATAAATAAGATATTTTATTTTCAGATAGCATGAGAAAAATACACCACTATGCATACATGTCAATATACAGGTGAAATCATGAAAGTCACCAAAAACCGGGTAGCAAAAGGAAATGCATCTCTATGCATGTATTTCAAGTACGCATGTCAAATGTTATGCATCTAAGTGATGAACTCATGTACTCACACTCTCAGAGTACTCAATCACTCAGTACTGTAAGGGGCAGGTCTAGCCCAGGGAAGATCCATCCCTCAATATAAATAACAACTGACAGTCAGTCACGCAGTACTGTATAGGGCCAATCCACCCCAGGGAATTCCATCCCAAATATAAAAGTATAGGGCAACTCCATGCCCAGGAACTCCATCCCAAATATGAATATATAGGGTAATTCCATGCTCAGGGAACTCCATCCCAAATATAATATTCACTGTGCTCACTGTGAGTGTGCAGACTCCGGAGAGGCTCCTTCAGTTCAAGCGCTATAATAAGCCAGATCCAGGCATAAATAAATAAAAATATGATGCAGCGTGCAACCCGATCCCTTAATTATCACTCACAATCAGGCCCTCGGCCGCACTCAGTTAATAATCTCTCCAGTTGGGCTCACAATGCGCAACCCTAATAACACAAAATTCGGGGTTTCATACCCTCAACACCACACGCCCGTCACCTAGCATGCGCGTCACCTCAACATCAATCACATAACACGAAATTCGGGGTTTCATACCCTCAACACCAAATTTAGAAGTGTTACTTACCTCAAACAAGTCAAATCCAATACCGAGTAGGCCAAGCAATGCTCCAAAAATGCCATTCCGCACGTACCGACCTACGAACGACTCGAAACTAGCCAAAAGCAACTCAAATACATCAAATAATACCAAAGAAAATAAACCCAATCGATAAAGGTCGAATCTTAATCAAAAGCCAAAAATCAACCCAAAAGTCCAATCCGGGCCCGCACCTCGGAACTCGACAAAATTATAAAATCCGACAACACATTCAATTACGAGTCCAACCATACTAGTTTCACTCAAATCTGACTCCGAATCGATGTTCAAAACTCAATACTTCATGTTTATATCTTAGACGTATGCTTAAGGGTGTTCGACAGATATGACTCGAGCATCCGTCGCGGCCCATCGGTTTGGGTCGTGACATGATGGATATCAATTGGATATGATAATAAGTGTACGAGGCATATTATAAGTGATGTGGGGTCTAAGGAGAGCCCTAAGTCCAAGTCAAGTTGGAAATTGCATGATAGACTAAAGTTCTAAATGAGTACGCACAAGACCAAAATTTGTACGAGCATATATACTTAAATATAATGAGTTATGTGATAGATGACCTATCAAATTAAAGGTCTTTGAGACTAGTTTCTAACGCTTCAAACCGTTCGTCATTTGGGCATTCCTACAAGACGTTATGACCAAATTACCAAAGGCTGACGGAGGAGCCTGCGGATACGAAGCATCCGAGGCCGCGTCCGAAAGAAAGGCTGGTAGTGAAGTGCTGCCATAGCATCCAGGTCCGCATCCGAGCTTCAAAGAGGAGTGAAGTGGAGATGCAAAGCATCCAGGGCAGCATCCGAAATCCAAAAATTTGGGCCTATTAATACAGTACAATTTAGGGGTTCATTTTCCCCATTTCATTTGGACGAATTTTCGAGCTCTTCTCCACTGTCTCAAGACCACCAACTCCCCTCTTCTTCAAGGTAAGCAATCCCCATTATTGTGGTGTGAAATTCCATTATTTCTACACTAGTATTGA